TTAATTAATTAAGGTGTTAGGATGCACTTTTTCTTATATTTTTCACAAACATTCTTTTATGTAATGGTAAATGATAGATCTATTCAAGGGACAATATATTAAAAATTATATATACTATTTAAAAATGTTAAAAAATTGGATGTTATACTATTTTTTAATTCAAATATAAATTGAAATTTTAAATTTTATCCATATAAATCCTTATCACTAAAGGCTTCTTTAATACTATTCAACAAATGCCCACGTAACGAATAATTATCTATATAAACATCAAGTTTTAAAAATATTATTAACATAACATTTACGTGTTAAATTTTATTTTATAATTTGTCCACCATGATCATTTTGTTAAAATATATGTGATGAAGTCTTAATTATTCTTTGACATTTTTAACTAAATGGTTAATAATTACCTTTCTCTATAAAATATTATGAATCCAAATCGGATTGTGTTATTGAATACTTTTATTAAAAGTATATATGATAATTACTGTATATATATCACTTAATGAATTAAGTATTTCATTTAAGACATTATATATATATATATATATTTGGTAATCTTGATGATCCCACTTAATTAACTTAAACTTGTTATTTAAAGTTTATAAAGGTGATTATCAACCTTAATTTCCTCCTCCTTTTACTCCCCCTCACATACATTCACATCCATAGATTTCACCCTCCTCAGAATCCCAACATTTTTTGATAATTAACAAACAGGAAAAACAAAAAGATAAAGACAAAGAAAGAGAAGATGAAGAAGAGATAACAAAGAAAAGGAAAAGAAAAACCAATATCGATCATATTGTATAAGAAAATTAACAAGGAGGATATTAAGATTTAAGACCAGGAAGAAAGTAAAAAATGGAAGAAAAAAATATTGATCCAAAGGATAAGCCATTGAAGGTTAATCATAAAGGTTGTCAGAATCTATTAGGCTTGGCAATCCCAACTGGGTTTGAAAAATTTTGGGGTTTTATTATTATCTTTCTTCTTAGCATTATTGCTCACCACCTTCTTAGACCATTAGCCCAATCTCAAATAACTTCTGACATTGTTGTAAGTTCTATATTATTCTAAATATCTATTAGATTCAATATATATGTATATGCATGTAAGTAAATATTTGTTAAATTGCAAATTGGGATGATTAGTGGAAATTTGATCTTCATAAAGAATATGTTTGAAGGTTCATACTTGGCAACATTAAAATAATATAGCAGAGTTTGTATGATGTGCCAAATGTTTATATTAGGTTTAGAATGGACCTTTGTGTAATCTTCAAACCACCAGCTCCTTATGCAATTATGGCTTATGTTGGAATGTTCTCAACCTTTATTTTGGCATATACAGTCACCCTTTATCTTCATTATTCACCCAAGAAAAGTCTTCACCTCAACTTAGCCCTCTCGATCCTCGCTGCTGGGAATAGCTCGCCTGTGCTAACTTGCGTCAAAACTAATCTGAAAATCGGTAAGTCTGATATAGGCAGGCTTGGAACAACTGTAGGAGTTCACACTGACATGATCTCCACATTTTTTATTACATTGGCTTCATTGTTTTCCCAAAAGAGAAGAACTTTCCTACCCGGGTTCGCATAAACAATGTCATCAAGATGAGTATCGCGGTGATTGTCCAAGTGGTTTTTACAACAACTGCATCTCCAAATGTTTTAAAATGGGTTAACAATGAAAACCCAAAAGGGAAATGTTTGAAAGGTCTTCACCTTGTTTTATCAGTTGTTATGATGGTTTTGATATGTAATTACCCTTGTTGGTATCAGTATGATCCAATTTTAAGTGTTTTTACTGCTGGACTTTTTATGCCAAGAGAAGAGAGGATATCGAAATGGATTCCCAACAAAATCAATCACATGCTCATGAATGTTTTTTACCCAGTTTTCTTTGTTTGGGTTGGATTGATGGCTAATCTCTCTAAATTTGATCCACAATGGATGACATGGGCAAGGATCTTTTGCCTTTGATGATAACAACCGTTGGGAAAGTCATCGGAACTATCATTGGCGGTGTAATCTTGGGATTCCATTGGCCTGAAACTGTTGCATTTGGATTGCTATTGAGTGCAAAAGAGCATTTTTCATATTTTCATAGCCATTTTAGCAAACAAGGAAATCTTTTCTCCGTTTTAATTATATACATCTATACATAATTGTAATAAGAAAGGGGTGAGCAGAAAATATTATATTAAGGAAATGCTAAAGTTTTTTTCCTTTTGGCTTCAACAAAATAGGAAGGCACCATAACAAACACAACAACTGCCTCATTTGTGTTTGTGGCCTTCATTGCTGTTGTCCACACTCCATTTATCGTGAAGAGAATCATCGAAAGAGCACGAAAACAAACACCAACACATCGAATGGCACTTCAATGGTTTGATCCTATAACTGAACTTCGAATAATGGTAGGAATTCATGGACCTCAACATGTGCCTTCAACAATCAATTTCATGGAAATGTTTAGGAGGGAAGACGATCTCGAGACTGTTTACTACGCAACAGACTTGATTGAAGTTACTAACAAGGTAGCTCCTTTTCTAATGCAAATATCCTGCTAGTGATGAATAATTTAATGAAAAACATGAGAGATAAAATCAATGTTGCAATCCAACCTTATATTGAAGATAATGATAAAGTTGTCACACTAGAAACAATGTTTGTTTTCTCGACATTAGGCACTATGGCTCATGACATATGCATTTTAGCTGAGGAGTTGGGAGTTTCCTCATCGTCTTGTCATTTCACAAGCGTCGAATTGCAAATAGCATCCTAGAGACAGGCCACGTCGGTCTTCGTCAAGTAAACCGTAAGGTAAAATTGTCAAAAAATGTGCAATTGCTATTGAATTCATGTTGCTTTTGATTTAATCATATCTTGTTATCATTTAACTACTAGTTCTTATTTATTTAATATCATAATTTACATATTCAATGTATAATTGAATTAATTTCGCTTATATTTTTACGAATTTTAAGTTCTCATCCGTCAAGAAATAAAGCACAAGAACATTTTATTTGAATTGGACATGTAATTGATTTTGAATTTGAATGATATTTATAATCAAACGCAATATCAGTCTATATAATGACTTGAATTTTACTTACAGGTTCTACGAAATGCACCATGCTCTGTTGGAATTCTAGTTGATAGAAGTTTCAGGATGATCATGGAATCGAAAACTCAAGCTTTTATGAACATTGGAGTGATCTTCATGGGTGGAACAGATGACAGAGAAGCACTAGCATTAGCAGGCCAACTGACACAAAATCCAAGACTAAAACTAACTGTGATCAGATTCCTTGTTGACAAATACTCAGAAAATGCACCAAAAAGAGTGAGCAATAACAGAGTCAGTATTGCAGAAGAAGAAGAAGAGATGAAGCTTGACAATGAATGTTTTGCAGAATTCTATCAGAGATTAGTGGCAACTGGGCAGGTTGCTTACACGGAGAATCATCTGGCTAATTCTTCGGAGACGTACACAAGTCTTAGGTCATTGCAAGGACAATATTCATTGTTGATGGTAGGGAGAGGGCGGAGGGTAAGCACAGTACTCACTAAGGGACTAAATGACTGGCACCAACGTCCAGAATTGGGTCCTATAGGAGATGTTCTTTCTGTTTCTGACTTCTTACCCACAACTTCTATTGTGATCATTCAACAACAAAATCTTAAAGGATAACTACAAGGCCTGGATGATGACTTCTCTATAATGTAACTTTAGGACACTGTACTTGTAGGAAAGGTTCCCAAGCCATTTGTTTGTAGATATAGAAATCAAATGTAAACAACACCAAAAGAAGAATGTAAGCTGTAATTACTTTAATGTAAATTGAGAAAGAAGAAGGCTGAATTCATCCTTGTCTTCCAAGCTAATAAATCTGTAAATAATAAATCCTACCTCCATTAACAAATCTGTAGAAGATATTCTAACTATAATTAAGCAATCGGAATTATATCTGGGTCCAACTCCTCCAGTTTATATAGGAATTTCAGTGAAAGAGCATGTCAGAAGTATAATTCAATTTCATTTTCAACAAAGCAACACAGATCTGCTTATAGTAATCATCAGAGAAAATATCATGTAATGCAATATTGAAGAAGCCATCTGGCCTCTACCCCCCGTGTCTGCAATCACCTACTTCATCCTTCGCTCAGATTCAGCAAGAGAAATAAACATGATATCAAGAAGAAACCTGAAGAGTAATCTTCCAGACATGGCACATTAGCATGCAATTCATCAAGTTGATTAGGTTAGGTGAAAGGACTCCATTATACATTTCTAACTCTATATGTCATTGATTCAGCACAAATATGAAAGTCACAGCACAAGTCAGACGAATATCACAGAGCATTCACATTTGGCTTCTATTAACCGCAGGCCTGACATTTGCAGCCTCAAAAAACAAAGCAATCGAAACACAATGCTCCCTCCGGTGCCTCAAATGTTCATTAATATGACCGCTTTGCCAGCTCAGCCTGCAAACATATAGCAAACTATAAGAATTAAGCTTGACGAGATTGAGACTCTCCAAGGACTTAATTGCTCCAACCAATTACAGTTTTAGCCAACAATTTGTCATAACAATTTAGGTGCAACAAGAAATCAAAGCCTGCAAGGACTATCTCTACTCTCCAAATAATATCTCTGACAGGGAGTAATCTTATAACCTATTTTAAACCAAATCATAAAAACATCCTGGGGGATTGAGAGAGAAAGAGATGGATGTGATGAACCACCAAAGCCAGGGGTTCAAGTTTGACTTAGCTAAGTGGACCTTAAGGCAATCTTAAAAGCACAAGAGGATGCATCTAATGTTAAAAATAGCATTACTACTGGGCCGGCAAAATAACAAAGTACCAAGAAAAAAAAAAGGGACAAATGCACTTCCACTATTTCTTCTCCCTCCCCAACAGAAACCTTGCTACCAACATCTGACTCTTGGCTTTTGCAATCATTATGATCAAGGCATCTCTGGTAATAACGAGCATAAGGGAAAAGAGAGGGTTTCTTTGCTTTAAGCCTGTCAAGGCCTTGAAAAAATTCGAAGGGCCACTGTTGCCAAGAGTCAAATACACGCCTTCATCCAAGTGGACCATTTACTTGGGCATGCTAGATGGGAGATGGATCTCATTAGAAATTTGAATGATGAAAGGAAAATGGATATCTTAGGCTCCATAGTCTCCTTGTTCTCTATAGCGTTTCTCCTAATGTGCCTTATGCTCCAGTTGGGAAATTTAGTGCCAATGACTATTCTCAGTGAGGTCTTTCTTTATCCACCTTGCCTATTTCCCCTTTACACAGAGCTTCCTTATGAAGCTCATATGGAAGATTAACACTAACATAAGAATGGCTTTTTGTTGCTTGTGAAGCAGCTGTGAAGGGGAGAACCCTAACTGTTGAATTTTTGTAAAGGCCATCTAAGTATCCAAACCTATTCTAGTTGTTGTGTCCTTTCTCTTCTTGTCTCAAGGCGCCTCATTTCTAGGTCTGGATTGGATGATGGTTAGCTTAGTTTTTGATGAGATCTGGACCACCACAAGATATCTGGGGTGATAATAAAGGAAAGAAAATTATCTCTTCTCTCTTTGACTATTTTGTACGTTATTTTGAAGAAGAGCAATGGGGAAGAGCTTTCGAGGACATAATTTTTCTTTTCATTATTTCAAAAAAAAATTATTTTTATAGATTTAGGACCAATTAGCTGGTTTTTTCTTAGGATCATCTTATTGGTGCATTTGGATTCAAAAATACTATTCTACAAAGTACCAAAAAAGTCTTAACTCTCAATAAAATTTTCAAGAGAAAAATATGATATACCTCAACTTGATTCTTCAGATAATCAAGTTCCCGATCTAGATCATTGATAGCCTGGTTGTATGCCTGCATTGGTGAAGACTGGCTTGTTGTTTGAATCTGCAGAACCCACTAGATTAGTCCAACCTCTAAAGCAGTAGTACGTAAAGGTAATAAACTTTCAAACTGAAACCAGAAGTAGAAAAAATGCTATAATTGTGGGTTCTCTTGTTTCCAAAAACCAATTCCAAACAAAAAAAAAGTTCCACAAGTTATTTGTTTTTCAAACAAAACAAATTTGGAAAAGAACAACTTTCATATAATTTCAAAGTGTTTTTTTCCCAACAACTGATCTTAAGGCTAGAACTCTATTGCTAATTAAACATTCTCTGATGCTTTTGTTATTTGAAGAGAAGGCAGACATAATTTTTCACACTTTTACACCAAAGAGTAAACTGACAATAAGTAAATGCTAAAAGCCATTATTTAGTGGAGAACAATGAACAAAAAAAAACTAAAAGACAAAAAATATGTACCCTGACAATGATTTTGTACTGAAGAGGGTGAGGAAGCTTGTAACCAGCAAACAACACATTCGGATCTCTGTGTAGTTGCCTGATTATCATTGTTAGCCACCAGCAGAAAATATTAGGTTTCAATCAATCTAAGAATAAAAAATTGCAAAAGAAAATTGAACATACATGCGAAGAATGTTGCCAATGGTATGTTCTTCTCTCTCTATAGTGAATGATGCTGCATTTATTATCTTTGTGTCCCTCTCGTAAGAAACCCTGAGATTTGGCAGGAAAAACATGAAAAGAGCATGGACACAATAAGATTGAGAGCGAAGGTTTGGAGGAGTAAAATACTTTTTAGTGCCCTCAGGAACGACAAATCGCTCATATCGATCAGGGGCATTCATGATTTCTCAGCTCTCCTCCCTCCAGAAACCTTCTGGTTTGTTTCTGTTTCTGTTTCTCTCCTATATGTATGTCATGCATCATATTGAATTTCTGTCAAACTTCTGTTTCCATTCTATAAGAAAGTGACTCATTTATTCAAACAAAAGCATATACCCAACTAGTAAGAATGCATACTATATTCATAAAAGAAAACCAAAACCATCATCTAGCAAGAGGACCTAACAAGATTACATAGACATCCAATCACCATGTCAATAAACAAGGTATTAGACAAGTACTGCCATAACAAACTTAAGAGCAACCCTCCAATCCATATCACCCAATATATGACCATACATGCAGCTTTCAAATGTGTTGTGCCACATAGAAACCTCAAGAATGTAAGTCTTGAATGTTTAAGAATTAATGCATAAAAAGCCCTGGAATTATTATAAAAAGAAAAAAGTGCTATAAAGTAAAACCAAGGGCAACTGCCGAAGATACAGAAGACAAATTTACTGAGCATGCAACCTTCTTATACACCCGTAGGACAATCACCACATTGCACCATCCACCAAGCAGAAACCCTAATATTAGTATATCAGTCAAAATTTTACATTCAATATACAACACCACATGCAAAACATATCGTTGAGCAATAATATATCTCAACATCAAGCTCTATCTCCCTTAATAATCAAGCACGTGAAATTCACCTCGTGAACTCTAAGTTAATAAGATATTAAGAATGAAGTCAAACGTCAATTATTCATAGATTATACTTGAGTTCTAAAACCAGACACAAGAAACAGGCAGAGAAAAGGATGCACAGTAAGGAGGTCCTAAGGAAACATGATCTTCAACACCCAACTAAATCTAAATGCTCAAGATGATAGCAAATTTTCCCGATTCACATCACTATTGCTATTTAAACAAAACATTAAAGAACCTAATCGGAAAGGGAGAAAGGTTTGCATTTTAGGAAAAAAAAAAAAAAAATTACAACCTATTTTGCAGATGAAACATACGTACAGTTAGCAAAAAGTTACCAAGTCCCGCCGACGGCGAGAGGCAGAGACGAATTCGGCGGCAATTGAGTGGCGTGGCGCGACCGGAGGCAACGTCGAGCGGGGTAGCGAACTAGCGATTGTGTCTCTGACACAGAGAGTATGTATAGAAGCAGAGAAAAAATTGAGCTTTGCAAATATACGTCATATATGTGTATATTAATTAATAATTATAATCGTTTTTTTATTAATATACTTCAAAATATGTGTTATATGTGTATATATATTAATTAAATTTATATATTATCACATTATATATTCATAAAATTTCATATGATTATTTTAATTCATAAAATTACACTTACTTTGTTTTAATTTTTTTTATATCACTTCAATTTTATAAATTTTCATACAAATTATTCTGAGAATTTATTAATTAATAAAATTATTTTTTATAAATACTTTTATAATCAATTTTGAAAAAATTTAAAAATGTTCTAAATGGCAAAGACAATTCTTTAAATTTTAAAAAATGTTTTAAATGGTAGATGAATGTATTTGAGTATGAACTTATATATATATATATTATAAAGTGATAATAAAATATAAAGTATATAAGGTATGATATAATAATTTATAAACTAAGTTGCTTTTATTTGTTTTAAAAAGTAAATGAATGTGGTATACATAGTAAACCATTGGTAAAATGTAAAATTCTTCTTTAAATAATATATAATAAGAGAGACAAAACTATAGCTTTATTTACTTATTAATATTTTTTTTAAGTATTGTAACACTCATAGCCAAATCACTAATAAAGTAATGTTTTTGTACGTAAATCATTTACCATAAGAAACTTAAAATTAACTTAAAGTTATTAATAATGTATGGTTATAAATTTTTATATAAAACTCAATAATTATATGTATTTATAACGTGAAATTGATATAGTATAATATTAATTACTTAAGTTATTGATGTTATCTTATAAGTACTAAGTATTACAGTCACAAATCATAACCAAATAGCTCGTACTTTACGATAATTCTATAAAAATCAAAATAAATTATTAGATTTAGACGTATGTTCAATATAGATATAATAATATTAATATAAAGAAATTTATAATCTAACATATTCAATACAAATTAAAAACAAGTAAAAATTATTCATAAAAATGTGATTTAATAAGCTTAGTTAGTAAACAATACATACATTATTATATTCTTATATTGACGGAATACGAATATCTTTTTATGTCAATCTATTCTCGATTTAAATGAGAAAATAATTTTTTATAATCTTGAATTTATTGATGATTCATTGTTGAATCTCATTATATATAAATAAAATTTGTATATTTATACATTAAATAAATCTTATTACAGATATTTTACGATCAGAAGAGAGCTATACTTTTTGTTAAATTAGTAAAGAGATAGTTTTTAAATTTTTTAAATTAAGTAAGAGATTTATAAAAGAATCACAACGGTTAAGATGATTCAAGAATAATTTATATAAATTCTATGAAATTAAAATAGCATGAAATGAAATTATAATTATAATATAATACAATTTTATTAATAGATAAAAGTTTATTATAAATTTTATCTTTGGACTATACTTTTATTATAATTTAAAATTTTAACTAGTACATGATAATATTAATTATTTTTTAATTTTTATTTACATTTTTAACAACATTATAACTTTTATATATGTCAATTAATAATGAATTAATACAATCTTATGTATATAAATTAATAAATAAATACAGCAAAAAAGAACAAAAACTGGAGGGGCTTATCCAGTGAAGCGTCCTTTTTTTTTTCCCCGATTTCTACAAATCCAACGGTTTTGATTGGTCAGATTTGAGTCAACGATCAAATCCAACGTATCTGACGTGGCGGATTCTAATTGGGAGACGGGTACACCTGGACGGTAACTCGCCATGGATTAGCCAGTCTCCCCGTCTTAGCCAGCCTTAAAAGGAACCAGAGAAAAACCCCCTGTAACTAAAACAGAGAGAGAGAGAGAGATCTCTAGACATGGCCGAATTTTCCCAAAAACCCTTTTAAGTTTTCACTTTTTCAAAATTTGACCCCCCAAAAATCAATAATTAACAAAAGGGAATTTCACAATTTTTAGAAAATTAAAGAAATAAATAATTTTCAAAAGTTGAGGGGGGAGAGATCTAAAATCCAAAATCTAAAATCTAAAAACCCGAACACAAAATTGAAAACCGAAAACCAAAATCTTCACTATGGCCTTTCACGTAGCTTGCCCAATTACATGGTATATTTTCACACACTCTCTATAAAACCTCTCTCTCTCTATATTTTCTCTCATTTTAGACAGAGGAGAAGTCATTTTTATGGTGTGCTGTTGTTGTTTTTGGTGCTTTTTTCTCTTTGCAGTCGGCGAATCTGTTTCTGCTCGCTAGGGTTTGGACGGAATCTCCAGGGCGCGAAATCCAAGGAGGAGTTCTTGAAGGAGGTAGGTCGAGTTGAGGAGTTCCTTAAGGATCCACGGGAAGCTAGGGTTTCGAGGGAGGGGACGGTACAAGTACAGGTTCCTAAGGTTATTCCTGCTCCAACACCGATTTTGGTTGCGGCTGCGGTCGATGGAGACGGTGGAGGTCTCGCTGGCGCTGGCGGAGGCGATGTCGGGGATGAGGCTATTGCGGTGTCTGCACATACTAAGCGCGTGGCGCTGCAGAAGAAGGCTGCCGCTGCAATGGTCGCCGCCGAGGATTATGCCAGGAGGTTCGAGTCTGGTGATATTGCGGTGAGGTTCTTGTGTTCTTATGCACTTTGTTTTATATTTTGTTTGCTAGAGTTATGTGAAGTGAGGTTCCTAGGCTTTTCTTTCCTGTTTCTCCTTTTGTATTTTTTTAAGACTGAAATTTGGCTTTCTTTGTGGATTTACTGTCTGGCATTGAATTTAGATATTACTCCTGCATTCGCATAGTAGTAGGACCAGTGTAAATTCATATATGTATAGGCGTGTATGTTTCTGTGTCTGATTGAATTTTGTTTACAGATCATGGTGGTAAGGTGCTTGAATTCGAGCAGCTTTTGAGTTTCTCTAGTGGTTGGGGATGGTTATCCATTCTGATATTTTATTTCGGAATTTGATAATTTTAAATTATTATGATGGTTTTGTGAAAGGCCTAGGCTTCAGTATGCACGGGAATGTGTCTATATTTATTATTTGTTCAAGCTTGGTGGAACTGAGCTAATTTTGGGTTATATTATGGAAGATATTACTTTTTTGCCTTTCGTGTTATGCGACTTGAATTTGAGCTAAATTTGATGTTATATTATGGAAGAATTTAATTTTGCCTTAATCTTTTTTTATGCGAATTCTGGTTCCCGTGAGTTAATGGCATTTTTGTGCGAATTGTTCCTTTTCATTGAATCATGGGTTTCTTTTATTGTCAACTGGTGCTGATTAAAATTTGAGATGGTATTCTTCTCAGAAAAAAAAATTGAAATGGTGTTGTGGTGGTCATGTGGAGGTGATTTGTGTCAGGCTCTTTGTCTAAGCTAAATTTAGATCTTATTTTTATATATTTTTTTCTTCAAAATTTTGTTCGTGTTACTATTGCATTTAGTTATATATAATCTGTTGGAATATTGGTTAACCTGCCTTTTTAGTGCAAATAGATGGTTTTTTCTGGTTTTAGTTTCCATATTTACATTTATTAATTTTACCATATGGAACCATGCATTTATTGAGAACGGAGTATTTGAAGTGAGGAATTGGTCTTATGTGAGTATTTTCTTTTACCATACTTTTGTGATATTGATAGTCTGATATTTATTTGTATAGGTTGGAGCAAACGATCCAGATAGAGAGGAGCATGGTCAGTCCAACATGAATATAATGTGCCGGATGTGCTTTTTGGGTGAAAATGAAGGTAGCGAGAGAGCAAGGAGGATGCTCTCCTGCAAAAACTGTGGGAAGAAGTACCACCGGAGCTGCTTGAAATCCTGGGCTCAGCATAGAGGTATTAGGTATTGACGAATGATATTTTGGGCTTACTGCTTTAGTCGTTCTTATATGAGATTCTTTTGCAGATTTATTTCATTGGAGTTCCTGGACCTGCCCCTCTTGCCGAATCTGTGAGGTGACTGATAAGCTTTATTTATTATTCAATGACATTCTTATTGCTTTGTTACATTTGCAAACCTACATATATCTGTGCCTTGGGATCTTATATTTTCTAAATTCTTCATAAATCTGATTTATATTTCTCATACTACTATCCTGTAGTTTGTTGGCCCCAAAATTTGCAGGGGGCCATGTTTTTTTCAGGAGAATTGGGATAATGAATAACCGTGTTTTTAGTTTATATACCTTATCCAAAGCTCTGATGGCCTCTGCTTTCTTTAGGTATGCCGAAGAACAGGTGATCCCAACAAGTTTATGTTCTGCAAGAGGTGTGATGGGGCATACCATTGTTATTGTCAGCATCCTCCGCACAAGGTACAGTTTCATTGCTTATACCTGAAACTCTTAACTTAATTAGCATCAGATGACTAATTTTAACTTCTGGATCGAGCAGAATGTTAGTTCCGGACCATATTTGTGTCCAAAGCATACAAGATGTCACAGCTGTGGATCAAATGTCCCTGGAAATGGCCTAAGTGTGCGGTATTGATTGTCAATCCTTATTCTGAAGCCTTCTTGCAATTTTATTCCATGTTGAATGTTGGGTGATGCTCTATTTCCTTTTCTGTCTGGATCAATCATGTAGTTGACTTTTGGTAGCATGGCACCTCACCCATTGGTAGACTTCCTTTTCCATATTGCCTCCCTGCAGAGAAAGTGATCCTGTCATCTGCATGCCATTCCATTAAAACTCTAAAATAATTAATTTCAATTGTGAAATTCTTGAAAATTACTGTCTGAAGTTCCAAAAATTGTTGGGACAATGCCAGGAAGAATGAGGAAGGAAAAGGAAAAATTTTGCAGAAAAAGAGAAGACAAGACATGAAAAAAAATGTTTTTTCTACTTTAAGTTACTTTGTAAAAAGTTCAATGTTTGGAAATGATAACTGAATTTGGATAAGGAAAATGACTTGCTTGATGAAAGTTATGCTCACCCATTTTGGAAGGAGGTTCAAATTCAGCGCTTGTAGGCTAATGACTGATTGAACACATGCTATTTAACTTCTTAGGTTTTATTTGCCTGCATTTCAATTTGGGAAACAGATGGATGTTTTTGGTAACCCTTTTCTGTATAATTGCCTTATTTCTTAGGTGTATTTGTAATTTTCTTTTAAAACTTACAGATGGTTCCTGGGATATACTTGCTGTGATGCGTGTGGAAGATTGTTTGTCAAGGGAAACTATTGCCCTGTATGTTTAAAGGTATAGTTTGCTCTTCTAAGGTCTAAACAGCATGGATCTTGTGTGTTTGTTTTGTAGACTGTATAGCGATCTTGTTACTTATGCTGCTGTTGCTTCAAACATATTTTATTCCTATTTAATTCCTAAATCTTAGTTATTTGGTATGTAGAAGTTAGTCTTAATTTATACATTTAATGCATAATTAATCAATTTTATTGATATCTTTAATTCCACGATCATGAATTGGTATTCTGACCTATAGAGGACGATTTTTTTTTCTGGCCTATAAAGGATGAAATTATAAATGCTTAATTTGAACTGCGCAGAATTGACTTGGAATTATAATGGTATTTTTTCATTCACATTTCTATTATATTTGTATTATGTTCCCATTTCTATTCCAGGAAAGTGGGATTTAAACCAAACTTAACCTTAAATCTGTAGTTGATATTCTAACTCAAAGGCTAATGGTTTAGGTTTTCATGGGTTGGTAATTTTTCCTGTGGATAATTTGTTGATCATACATTTGCAACAGGCATGCGAAGAGTTGATACCGCTAACCCTTCTTAATTTTCATCATTATGTGTTTTTAACTGAATTCAATCAATATTCTTTTTATCAAATCCCACATATTTATACTTTGTATCAAATAGTACCCCATACCATCAAAGTTTGTTAGTTTTGACAGAACATTCCTCAAAAAATTTAAAGAGGAAATAAAATAATATATAAATATTTAAGATGACTGTTGACTGAAAATTACGCTGCTAAAAACTAATAGATACCTTGGCTTGTGCTGCTATTTAATACTATTTGTTAATATATTGGGTTGATTTTATTCAATTAAAAAATGCAATGAGCTATTTGATACGATAATGAAATATGCAGGATTTTATGACATTGACCCACATGAAAATGCTGGTGTATTTTATATGTCTAACTATTTACTCCAACTGGCTATATCCTTTGGCATCCTTGTAGGTTTACAGAGATTCAGAATCGACTCCAATGGTTTGTTGTGATATTTGCCAGCGCTGGGTGCACTGCCAGTGTGATGGGATCAGGTTTGTTGCTGAGCTTCTTCGTTAACAAAACTGCCTTGGTAACATGTTGTGTTTGCTCATGTGTTTTGAAAGTGATGATTGCTTTTATTATTGTTACTATTGTTCTGTAATGTTTTGTAGTTGGAGCTATTTGCTTGAACATTTCATAATTCTCTGTCTCACTCTGCTTGCATTCTATGTCAGTCCTTCATATACTTCTTTCGCAAATGTTGGTTTGTTTAGTCATTGTTTGGTGTTAACTTGCACTTGTGCAGGTTGGTTTAGTTGTTGTTTAGTGCAGGTAAATGTTATAGCATGTCTCATTCAACAGGCTATCGGTTAAACCTGGTTGCCCATTTGTCCATGGTCAGGTTGTCCTGACTCTACTGCTAATCATCCTCCTAACCAGTATTTACTAATAGAAATGATTATAAATAAATTCAGGTCATGTTTTTGGGCCAACATCTTGAAATCAAACTTTCTTTTTCTGTTTTTCTTCTGTTTTAATCTTTGACAATGCCATCTTTCAATACTTAATTTGAGAAACCCGAGATAGCAGTTAAGTAAGAAATACCTCTCAATGGTTTATTTATTCATTTTCAGTTAACTCTTCTCTGTGATCTTGAGGGGTAAATTAATTTCTATCTGTTAGGAATTAGTTTAGTTATTTATAACAGGAATATTTTGCAGTGATGAGCAGTATCTTCAGTTTCAAGTAGATGGAAATCTCCAGTACAAATGTGCTACGTGCCGTGGAGAGTGCTACCAGGTTTGTTTTCCATGTTTACTCTGTGTGCTATTCTCCTCTCTCCGTCCCTGCAAGTTAGGTGGGCATGATTGAGGGCAGAAAGAGTTCTTTGCAATGACCATAATATATTATCAACTTCGTCAATTACTCTTCTTTTACTCCAATTGAAACTTACGTGATCAGGTCAAGGATCTAGAGGATGCTGTTCGAGAGCTTTGGAGACGAAGGGATATGTCTGACCGGGAGCTAATTGCAAGCTTGAGGGCTGCTGCAGGGTTGCCAACTCAAGAAGAGATATTTTCTATTTCACCTTACTCTGATGACGAGGAAAATGGCCCAATGATTGGGCGTTCTTTAAAGTTCTCTTTGAAAGGGTTACTTGATAAGTCACCAAAGAAAAACAAGGAATATGGAAAAAAATATTCAAACAAAAAGTATAACAAGAAAAAAGGATATCAAACATCTGTAGTCAGTATAGAACTGCATGAGGGTTCTGAAGGGCAGCACGATGCCCGATCAGATGGATGCAGCTTGGGTGATGAAAAGAATGATGAGTTGCAATCTCAAAGAAATGAAGCCCTTGATATTTCTTCTCCTGTCGTTGGAATTTTAAGCCATGCTGAAGGTATTTGCTCTACTAATCAGCCTATTACTCGGAAACACAAGTTTGTAGAAGAGGTTATGGTGAGCGATGAAGATAGAACACCAAGAGTTGTTAAAATCAAGAGCAATAAGCCTCATGGGCCAGACAGCGAGGATGCTGTAGAGCAGCAGTCTAGCAAATTGAAGACGGGGGCGAAAAAGTTAGTAATAAATCTAGGTCCACGAAAGATAAATGTCACCAACTCTCAGAAGACTGATGCATCAACCTGCAGAAGGGAAGATCTGACTACCTCTAATGGTATTTCATTTTATGTTGTTCAACATTCTTTTAAGGGTTCAAAATTTGGAAGGTTATTATGTAAAAACAGAGGTCCGTTTTTAATTGAAAAAAGTGGAATCCCATTTTTAATAGAAAATAGGGGGCCTCATAAAAAGCAAAAGCACAAGAAAATTAACAATAGTGATGAGAATAGTCTCATCTTTCTTATCATAATATTATTGAGTGTCTTTTGAAAAAAAATATTATGGAGTGCATGCCAGACTCATTGGAATTATCTAAGGCACTTTGATATGCTGCATTTTTTATATTATTATGGGCATTTATAATACCAGTAGCTAGTTAGAGATAGACAGAGTCATTTTATTTTTTTTAATGCTAGACATGCATCATCATTACCTATATGATATACTATTTACTGCCACCTACGACATATTGCAACCTTTCCCATAATTTCACAAATTAATAGAAGTTGAGAAATAGGGGGCTTATATTTTTGCCGCTTTATTTGGATATGTTTCAGACTACTTTATTGAGGTTTTTAGTTTAGGCTTTTAGATGTTGTTTGGCTTGGTTTTAATTGATGTTCTAAAGGTTGTCAGGCTTTAGTTTAAAATTGAAGAGCTTATAAGCTGCAGGGTTTATAAGCCCCTCACTAGTTTAAAGTTGCATGAACTTTAAGCTGTTAAAGAAAAATATGCTCATCTGTTATAAGCTCTTTGTCATGTGCCAAATGCCGCACAAAGTTTTAAACTCTTAAAGAGTTTATAAACTTTATTTGACCCCCAAAAAATTGCTAAGCAAAACACCTTTTATGGTAAATTGCATGTATATGTAATATAATAGGTTTACATGTGTTGTTTTCTTGATATGCTTTCCAATTTTGGAAAGGCTGCTGGAATGGGTCCGTGTAAGTCACGTATGTGTTGCATCATATTGATGAGCAGGTTTTGAAGATACAAGCCAGCAGCAGAGGATGAGTGACAAGTTTACACAGGATAGATATGAAGTAACTAATAAATCTGCTGATGGTATGCAGTTGCTACTATTAATTGTTTTGACTGTCAAAAAATTCTTTTGTTATTAACAGTTAGTATTTACATGACAATTTTTTTTTTTAATTTTGATTATTTTTAACAAAATTGCAAATTATGTGCAATTACAGGGGACACAGTTGATCGTGCTGCCAATATAAGAGGTTTAAAAATTGCTGGCAAGTTTGGAAAGGTCAGATCAGAAGATTCAGACATAAAATCTGAACAGAAGAGAAATAGTGGTGATGGATTTCCACAGGAGCAGATGCGAATTTCATTTGGTAAAAGAAGTACAGAAGTAAACAAGGCTGCAGTTGTACCTAAAGAGGAAGTTCCTACATCGAGAGGTGAGAAGGAGTTTTCAGGGAATCAATTAGAAGGCAGGATCGGTTTAACTGGTGAAGGCAATGATGATCATGATCTCACACCTACCTTGCATTCTTCTCAAAGAGATTCCAAAACTTTACTGAAGTTTAAACTAAAGAAGCCAACACTTGAAAACCAGAATTCTCAGGCCTCTCAGTTTGAGGAAGAAAAGAGTTTCATAAAGGGCCAAAGGTCAAAGAGAAAAAGACCATCACCCTTGATGGAAAAATCTTCTTTTAATGAAGATGAGGATGTCTTGGTTTCACATAAAGACAGTTTAATGGATGAGATAATGAATGCTAATTGGATTTTGAAAAAATTAGGCAAGGATGCAATTGGAAAGAGAGTTGAAGTTCATCAGCCATCTGATAATTCATGGTGAGTCCTGGTTTAGTGCAATTTTCTTTTAGGAAGACTAATGCTGGATGCTATAGGTTCTTTAGTTTTTCTATTGTAGGATGAAAAAGTCATTTGGATGCCTGTGCTAAGCTATTATCACATTTACTGTTGTAATGTGGTTAAATTTTATTTCCAGGCACAAGGGAGTAGTTACTGACATCATTGGCGGCTCATCCACATTGTCTGTTACTCTAGATGATGGTAGATTGAAGAAACTGGAACTTGGGAAGCAGGGGGTTCGTTTCATTCCCCAAAAGCAAAAGAGGTCGAAGGCATGAAGGCTGGACTTTTCTCATCATCTCATGTTAAGAATTTCTTCCCTCGTACAGGTGAAACAGCAGCTCCATTTCCTCAATTCCCAATTGATGTGGTTTGTAATTCTTGTATGAGGTGTAAATTTCTAGATAAGGCATTATTTTTGTCAGAAGCTGTTCATTCTTTTCGATGAATGGCAAATATATCTAGTTGGGTTTTTTTCCCCCCTCTCTCTTATAAGAAGCCTGTTCATTTCTCTTATGTAGTGGGTCTTCCATGTATTCAAATTCCTATTTGGGAATGTAGTTTTTTTCTGCTTTTTCAGAATTATGATATTTGAGCTAGGTAGCCATTGTATTCACTGATGATATTAGCTTTATGCCTAGGTCCTGTAAATGAGTTTTTTGTGTGCCTTGTGCACTTTAACATTGTAGAATTTTTGTTTGAAATTTCTAGTGATTTGAATTGTATGAGGCATCAGATATATAACAGTAGTTTTAAGTTTCCTAATCCTTATCAAAAGTGAGGGGAGAAACGGACAGGGGTTTAATTTAAATCTTTGAGAAACAATTGTTGGTAATCTGGCTCAGCAAGAAGTTGACTCTGGGATGAGAGGAGATGGGTTAGCATGTGTAGGGTTTTAAGTTGGATAATTATTTACTAATTTTTGTTGCCTTCACTTGCTTACCCTTTTTCCCATCATGAGGTTTATTTTTTCGTTCAAGAATACAGCTTCTTGCAGCTTTTTCTTATTTCAACTTAGCGTATTAGAATCAGGAAAAATTGTTGGAACGAAAGAAAGAAATGGGTTAGACAATATGTGATGCATCATTATGTACAATTGAATTGCACAGAAGGTGGTGGCAGGTCTAGTACAAGCCAAAAGGCAACACAATCGTGAATGTCCAAGTCCTATGGCATGGCAAGGAGAGGATTCTCTCGACAGGAACTGGTTGTTGCTTCCCTACTTAAGGGCTTTGCTTGTGTAGTTACAGGTGTTCAATTGTAAGCGGCATAAATTTATCATGTAGAAATAGGGAGGATTAAGCATGTCTGAGAAGTGTTAAGGGGCTTTGCTTGTAGTTACAGGTGTTCTATTGTGAATGGCATAAATTTTATCGTGTAGAAATAGGTAGGATTAAGTATGCCTGAGAAGTGTGGTTGTGATTTTTGTTTCTGTTGAGGCAGTGGTTAGGGGCTTCTGTTAGCTTTATGGTTAGGGCTCTAGAGCACCTTGCTCCAAGTTACTTGGTATTTAGGGTTTGAATCTCATAATTGATTAGTGTGATGGGGAACTGGCAACTTATGGTAGGAGTGGGGGATTGCTTATACCTGGGTTCCTTCAAACTTATGTTTTAAGTGTGAATTAGGACATTCTTCCTGCCCAGAGTTCGGTGCCAGCGAGACCTTTCTTTTCTTTTCTGTAGTTGTTTATTTGATATGCGTTCCGTTCTTTTGTTGAGTACAGCAATTGTACAACTCAGTTTGTTGTTACTTGTATTTCGGTAGGACAACTGATGCTTTGCCTATAATCAGACAACTCAATTCACTTGATATGTGTGTGTATACATACAGATCAGTATAGCTTTATGGCTATGGCTCTAGAGCCTTTGCTCTTCTTCTAACTTGTAATGTTTTGACTCAGCTTTTGTTTCCCTTTTTTTTTTCTGGGAGGAGCACCAGTTACTTTCCTTTTCTGTTCATTTTCGCCTGTTCTGCTTCTCTTTCTGTTTCATGCAATGTAGTAAGTTATGGTATTAGATACATCCATGGTTTGTTCTGAAATGACAGTTGTAATGTGTGTCGTTTCGCTGTATCACGTATTAGGTTTTTGTGGATTAGATGCGTCCCTTGCTGTCCTTAAATGACATTTGTCACGTTTCTCATGTGACTGGAACATCTATTAGAACTTTTTTATTGTCTCTGTCTTGTTTTTAATGGTTTATGTTTTATTTGAATAATATTTTGTTTTCTTTATTTTTTGTGCATGCATATTATGTGATATATGTATGTATATAGGTTTTCTATAATGTGGCATGAAAAGGGTGTTGTCAGTACATGTCCAATTCATGTTATATTTAATTTTTAAATTAAATAATTGTTATTATATATATATATATTTTAAAATATAATTTAATTATTTTAATTTTTAATTAAAAATTGAAAAAAAATAGAAGTTTGAAACAAAAAAAAAGGTAAAAAATCAAATTATAACAAAATATATATTAGAGATTAAATTATAACAAATGTTATAATATTGGGTTCCAAAATCGGTTTGGAATTTTTATTTTAATTATAAAACAATTATATAAATAATTAAATTAATTTGTTTTAAATTTAATTTTATTAAAAATTTGAGAAAAAATAGATTAAGAACGGAATTAAAAATAATGTTAAAAAAATAAGTGAAATTTTAAATTCGGTGGATGTTAATAAAAAAAATTTAAAAATAGAGGGTTAAAATACAAAAAGAAAAAAATTGGCTACGTAGTATACTCAGTTAGTAGTCTTGGCAAATAAGAACATACTGCCGACAACCTTGCTGACATCAGCATTAAATGGGGAAGCCATACGAGCGATTTGCATGCTTAGTGATCCGATAGTTTAGATATTTTTATTGTATTAATATAACTCACAATTTTATTAATAATTTCAGATCAAGAAAATTAAGATTCAGATTTTGATTAGTAAGAGGATTGTGAGTAGATCACATCTCGAACTCCGTTTTAAATATTAGTAAATGTTAACTCAATAAATTATCTATTAATTTATTTTGATTGTCGTTTTTCTTTCTTTATGAACTAATGTAAAATATACATTTACGTAACTTTATTGATCATTTTAATTTACTGTGTAAAAAATATAAACCCTAATTTTATTATTTGTTTTCAAATTTAAATGATAAATTTTTTAAATTTAAGACCTTTACAAATATTGAATTTAAAAAATTAATTTAATAATTTATTATTTTTAATTAATATATGCTGTTTTCCATTTTTCCCATTTGATGCTTATAATTTGAATCTGTACACACCTTGCATCTTTTCTCTTTGTATTTTCAACTCAGAATGGATTGGGATCGCTAAAATTGTTTGAAAAAGAAATATGTTTAAGAGAAGTGTAATGGAAATCCATGGGATGTTATTGAATTATACAGGAGGTGGTGGCAAGTCTAATAAAAGCCAAAACCCAACACAATCATCGGAATCCAAATCCTCTTGGATGGCCAAGAAATGTAAACCTCCACAGGCTTTTTTCGCTGCTTCCCAAGCTTCGGCTTCACTAGTTGTTACGGGTGTTTTCTTGTAAGTCACATAAGTATATCGTGTAGAAACTCCCACAGATAGAATCAAGCATGCCCGAGAAATATCTGCCTCGATTGAGCATACTTCCAATCCATTCATCCAAGCTGCAAGAATACATGTGAAATTCGGTCAATCAATTCAAGATGATCATACAATTCGCACCAAACTAAGCAACACCTAAATGCCTATCATGAACTTGTATTGAAACTGTCTTCTTAATGTTGGATTACAGTTCTTTATATCAAGATGTTGTAGTTTTTACTAAATGGATATTGAATCCGATTAGATACATTACAAGGCAAAATTATTAAAAAATTACAGAGTTTCCTGTTAAATTTAAGAAAGTATAACAAGATTTTAAAAATAAAAATTGTTTGATTCATAATTCAAAAGAACATTAAGAAGACATGACAATAGTTTATTTGAGTTAAACTTCTGTTAACTTAGATTAAATGCCCAACAAAATAATTGTGATCACTAGCTTCTTTCTTTCTTCCTCACTTTAAAAGAATAATCTTCTCAGTTTTCCTTAACCTACCATCCTCTTTCCTTTTTTTTTTCTTTTTCTTTTCGGAGTAATGTTCTACTCCTCGTTTCACCATGACAAAGAGACCAAATTGCCCCCTCTCTTGCTCGGATATCTCTCTCTCTCTCGCTCTGCTACACAAAACGACCCCCTCTTCCACCACCTGTACTCCCTCTCACCATTTTCTTCCCCCCTGCAATCTTCCACCCAATCCAAGTGCAGTCTACACTTGAATTTCACAAGCCTTAAGCCTTTCTTCTTCTTCCTTTAGTGCAATCTAAAGTCTCACCAGCATATCCTCTCAACCTAACTAGACTGCCTCTGCTCTAGACCCAACACTGGATCCTACCGATTTCTGCTTATTCATCATGTTTTCAAGCTTAAATCTCCCTTGCACGTTCTACTCCCCAGGGACAAAAATGTCACCTTTGCTAAGCAAGTGTCAGTTATCCAGTCTTGAAGTCCTGAATCAAGTCTGTTGCCATGGATACAACCTTTATTGTGACTCTGCAGGCTGCTAGGCCTGCAATCCACCATTTGAGGCACCAGCCTTTGCCCCAATGGTGAGGATTTACAGCTTCCCATAGGTTTGAAGCAAATAGACCAATTTGCAAGACCACACCCATATGCATGCAGAAGGCCAAGGTGGGAACAAATATGTAAATGACCATTATATGATACCATTTCGGTTGGTGAATATCTGAAGAAAAGTAGCCTTTGAGATGACAACAATTGGAAACCATGATGGGATTTTCTTTTGCTGGGTCCTGACAGGGCATCGGAAAGTTAAGAATCCTCATTCTCCTGAGGACTAACCAACTCAAGTGAGTTCGTTAGAAACAATGATGGGATTTGATCTTTGAGGGAGAGTTGCATATTTTGCTGAGAACTTTAACAGGCAAACAGGTTGATATGCTTCCTTGGAAACTACTTTTTGCCAAAAATAGAAATGCATATTTTTAAATATTATTTAGACCAATAAAAATAAGAATCCACACGGGGGTTTCTTATGTATAGAAAGGAAAAGAGACAAAGGAATAGGAGAAGACAAAGGAAAAGGAGTATAGCAGGAATCTATCTTAAATTTAACAGAGTTCAAGGTTTTTAACCGGTTAAATTAACTCATTTCTGTGCATATTTTAAAGATGTAGTTGTATTTTCAAAAATTAGCATTATCAGTTAAATATATAGTTTTTTAAAGAAAATTTAATGATTATATTTTAATTTAATAGCAAGTTCTCATACAGATTTTTGTGGTATGATAGTGAAGTTGAATGAGAATTCAGGAAATGGAGAATGAGAATACATACCTGCCAATGGTTTTGCTCGTGAAGATGCAACAGCTAGTCCTGGTATCAATGTCTTATTGTCAATCTCAATTCCAAGTAAATCCAAATCTAGACTTGCACCAAACACGAACTTGGTCTCGAAGGATGAGATCTCTTCTTGGATAGCTGACAGGAAATAAAATCAGTACAGCAAGGAAAACACTGCTTATAACTTGTGGCAAAACTAGATGTATGACAGTTAACTGTTAGTTACTGCAATGACTGTTGCAAAGCTATAGTTATTTTTTTCTTTTCTGAAATATAACGTATGAATTGTATTTATATAAGCACCAAAGGGATGCCGTCCATGTACAAAATTTACAAATCAATCAATATATCAACAAGTTCCACAAAGTCACAGTTATGCAGTCCGCATCGTCATTGATAAAAACAACTGAATGATGCAATATTGTAAGTGTTCTATTGACCAACTTGTTAGAAATAACTAGTTAGGAAAACGATATTATTTCCGTTCATGTTAATAATGGCAAAGGTTGCTACCAACCTACCTGAGAAAGGTAATTGTACAAATGCCCATTTTTCTCCAAACAAGTTCTCTGGAAGGTCCATTGGGAACGGATTATCTAAGACCAGAAGTGGCTTAGATCCTTTCTGAAAACCAGGATGACGTGTGTATATTGTCTTGTAACGCTCCTCTAACCATAAGAGCAATGACAAACACTGAAAATGGTGAAAGCAACAGTAAATAACAAATAATACAGAATGAAGTGATGCAGAATGGATTAGTTTTAGCTTACCTAAATAGAATTATAAAATAAAAAACTACTACGTCATTTTTTTTTTGAAATAAAAAGTGTTATGTATATCATTACTTACAAGCAACAAGGGGTGGTAAACCCATTCACAAAAAGAATTTACAATTTAGTTAACATATCAATTAGGTCACTGAGATTCTCAATGGAATACAAATGTTATTAATCAGCACCCCAAGGGACTAGAACCATCTCTCTCTAGTTCTATCTATATCCTCTTCTGCTCCCTAAAAAACTCTTCTATTCTTCTCATTCCAAACAACCCAAAAGATAGCTAGAGGAATGAGTCCTAAAAACTTCTTTCAACTTGCAACACCATTCCAAGCCCATATTTCATCCTTGACAGATGCCAGCACCCAATTGTACCCAGGATCCCAAAAACCATAGATCATAGACTGTATGCAATATGACACTGCAGAAGAATGTGATCACAAATTTCTTCCGCATTTTTGCAAAGACACCACTAGTTACCATAGTCTTCCCTTGTCTCATAAGCTTATCTATAGTCAAAATGCTTCCATGAGTTGCTTCCCCACGCGAAGAAAACAATTCTTGGAGGTGCACTCAATCTCCATATCTGTCTAAAAGGAAAATCTTTTTTTTCAGACTCTCTTAAAGATACTTGAAGAAAGATCCCACCGTGAATTTACCCGTAGGGCTAAGAGTCTGAAGAAGTAGATCTTGATCCTCATTGAGTGAGATTGAAGACAAAACACTGAACGGTTCATATTTATCAATCTTATAATCATTGAGATTACGCATCACATCCACATTCCACTCCCTCCT